AGAGGCAGATCCAATTCCAAGAAAGGAAAGCCAAGTCAAGCAAAAGAAAATGCTAGAACTGTTGTAAGAAGGAACATTTCAAGAAGGACTGCAAAGCTCCAAGGAAAGCTGGTGATGGAGGACAGGAAAGTATTTACTCTACTATTATCTCCACGGGTGAAATCCAAAGTGACTCCCTTGTATTATCCCTAATCAATACTAAATTTTGGATAGTGGATTCAGGTGCCTCTTTTCATGTTTGCCCCAATAAATAGGTATTTAAAAACTACATTTAGAGTGATCTAGGGAAAGTTTATTTGGGAGATGACAAGGCCTGCAGTATAATAAAAAATGGTGATGATGATATCAAGTTGTCAAATGGAGCAGTCTGTAAGCTTACTGAAGTTAAACATTTTTCAAGTTTGAAAATAAATCTCATCTTTGTGAGTCAACTGACAAAGTCAAGACTTGTGACTACTTTAACAAGGGATTTGTGAAAGGTGACCAGGAGGGCATTAGTGATGGCTTGGAGCAACATTGAAGACACCATTTATTTGATCAGTGAAATGATTGATTTCATTGATGTAGCTGGAACCAGGGTGGAATCAGGTCTGTGACACCGTAGGCTTAGTCATGTGAGCGAGAAATGTATGAAGTCCCTACTTTCAAAGAATAAACTTCAGGATTTAAAATCAGTTAATCTAGATTTTTGTAAAGACTTTACATATGACAAGCAAAAGAAAGTTTCTTTCTAAAGAGCGGGTCAATGGTGAAATCAAAAAAATTGGAGTTAGTGCATACTGATGTATGAGGTCTTACTCCAGTTTAGTCCATTGAATGTTCTCACTATTTTGTCACGTTTATCGATGAAAACACGAGAAAGGTATGTGTTTATTTTTTAAAGCTAAAATCTGATGCATTAGCTTTAAGAAATGGAAGGTTATGGTAGAGAATGAGACAGACTTGAAGCTGAAGTATCTCAGATCAGATAATGGAGGTGACTACCGTGATCAAAAGTTTAAAATTTCTATGCTACAAAGGGGGTCAGGCATTAGTTCACTGTCCCAAAGACAACGCAACAAAATGGCGTGACTGAGCGCATGAACAGAACACTCACGGAGCATGCTAGGAGCATGAGGCTACTTCCAGGCTTGCCAGAACAGTTTTGGGCTGAAGCAGTTAATATTACATTTTACCTTATAAACCTTAGTCCATCAGTGCCTTTGAAGGAAGACTTATCTGAAGAAGCCTGGAGTTACAAAAATGTATGTCTATCTCATTTAAGAGTATTTGGGTGTTCTGCATATGTGCGTGTTGATGCAGGGTCTAAGAGCAAGCTTGACCAAAAATTCGTCAAGTGCACCTTCATTGGATATGACTCAGATGAGTTTGGGTACAAATTTTGGGATAATCAAAATCAGAAATTCATTAGAAACAGGGTCTTCACTTTCATCGAAATAGAGATGTATAAAGACAGGATCAGAACTCGGGATATTTCGTTAGCTACTTCTAAGGAATCTAAATATGTGGAGATAAACAATATTGGTGATCAGGAAGACGGAGAATGAAATAATGCTCAATCAAAAGGAGCATTAGAAATTCCTTAGTCACCTGCTACAAATGTCAAAAGATCCAGCTGAGCGACACGACCCGTATAAAGGTATTCTTCTTCTTTACATTTTATGTTACTAACTTATAATGGTGAGCCAGAGTGCTTTGAGGAAGTCACTCAGATTGAAGATTCAAAGGAATGAGAGTTTGCTATGAATGAAGAAATGCAATCTTTGGAGTCAAATTAGACTTGGAATTTGACGATAATACCAAATGGCAAAATAATACTGCACAACAAGCAGGTTTACAGGTTGAAAGAGGAGTCAAATGGTAGCAAGCGCTACAAGGCAAGACTTGTTGTGAAGGTTTTCCAGTAGAAGGAAATTGTGGATTACTCAGATATCTTTTCCCCAGTGGTGAAGATGACTACTGTCAAGGTTGTCTTGAGTCTGGTAGCAGTAGATCTACATCTGGAGCAGATGGATGCAAAAATAGTTTTTTTTTTTTACATTAAAGATGACTACTGTCAAGGTTGTCTTGAGTCTGGTAACAGTAGATCTACATCTGGAGCAGATGGATGTAAAAATAGTTTTTTTTTACATTGAGATCTAGAGGAGGAACTATACATGGTGCAACCATAAGGTTATAAGGTTCCCGACAAAGAATGATTGGTCTGTAGATTGAAGAAGATTCTTTAGGCTTGAAGCAAGCCTCGAGATAGTGGTACAGTAGGTTTGACAAATTCATGTCAAAAAATGGGTACATGAAGTGTCAAGCAGGTCACAGTTGCTTCATCAAACACTTCAGTAACTGTTATATTTTGTTTCTTTTATATGTGTATACTATTTTGATTATAGGGGCAGATATGGAGAAAACCAAAGACTCGAAGAGTTAGTTATCAAGTGAGTTTGAGGTGAAGGATTTAGGTCCAACCAGGAAGATTTTTGGGATGAGAATAATCAGGGAAAGGAGTGTTGGAACACTGAAGTTATCTCAGGCAGAGAATGTTGAGAAGATCCTACAGAGGTTCAACATGAATGAGGTGAAACGACTTAGCACTCCCTTAGGTAGTCACTTCAAACTATCTAAGGAGTTATCACAAAACTCTGAAGCAGAGCAAGCACAAATGGAGAAAACTTTGTATGCTTCAGCAGTTAGAAGTTTGATGTATGCAATGATTTGTATCAAGCCTGATATTACATATGCAGTGGGAGTGTTTAGCAGGTACATGAGCAATCCAAGAAGACATGATTGTGAGGCGGTAAGTGTATTCGCAGGTATTTGAGGGGAATAGCCAACAGAACAGTTTGTTGTGGAAGTGCAGGGATCAGTCTACAGGGATTCGTAGATTCAGATCTAGCAGAAAATGTGAACAGTAGAAGTACAAAGGAGTATATCTTCAAATTGGGGAACACGGCGATGAGTTGGGATTCCATGCAGAAGATCGTTGCACTTTCTACTATAAAGACCAAATATATTGCTATCCTTGATGCTAGCAAGGAGATGATTTGGCTACAAAATTTTACGCCATAATTGGGCAAGGAGTAGGGTATCAAAAAACTCTATATAGTAACAGTATGAGTGTGATTCATCTTGCTATGAACAATGATTTTAATGTCAGGACGAAAGACATCCAGCTCATGTATCATTTCATTCTATCTCTTATGAAAGATGGGTTGTTATTTCTAGAAAAGATACATACAGCTGTGAATTCTGCGAATATATTGATGAAGATAATGATTGTTGAGAAAATGAAGCTGTGAATGGCTTCAGTTGGGTTTCATGAAGGTTGAGATCGAGAGTGAGCCACATCATGGTACGTGACCACAACACATGACTATGAAGATGATTCAGATGGAGGTGCAGGTACAGAGAACTGGTGCTCGGTACAATCAGTCTCCAAGTGGGAGATTGCTATGAGTGGAGACTGATTTCGTGAGCAGCAGGACAGAGCACTCGGTGCCTATGCATCGGGTCGTGGGTGCTTAAGCGCCCACTTGGGTGCTGCTCGAACAGAGGAGTCGGCGCTTATGTGTTGGCTTCGGATGCAGATGTGCCCGTATAGGCGTCTGTTTCCAGAGCGTATGCTACATAGGCGCCAATTCCAGGAGCCTATGCGTAAGGAACGGTTAGTGTTGGGAATTAGTTTTTAATCTCGATTTCAAGCAGCATAAGAGAAAATGGATTGGTGTATCTTCCTTCGGTGTTCTTCGATGAGCATCACGGTGAAGGTGAGGAGTATCAAAGAGATAGATTTCGGTGATTCAGCATGATTTTTGCATTGAACCGGCTAGGGAAGATTGTGAAGCGAATCATGTAAGTTTTTGTGTGTGTGGAGGGAAAACTTTTGTGAGTTCTTTGTAGAACCTTTTGAATTTCATAGTGAATTTCTGGTGGTGTAGCTCCGTAGCTTTTTCCCATTTTCGGGTTTTTCCATGTAAATTCTTGTGTGTTTTTCTGGTTGCAGAAGTTGTGATTCTGTTTTAATTTTTGTTCCGATTTTTTATCGAATTGGTGCGATCCCGTTATTCTGTTGTATGGTTTAGTTTCTAATTGATCCTAAGCCCTGGTAAAGCAGGGAATTGTTCGTTCTGATTCCTATCACAGAGCACTCCAGGCCATGTTGAGTCACTTCTTCATGGCTAAACAAACCCAAAGTTTGATGACTCATGAGGATGACTTTATGAAATCCTAACTTAGTCATGACTATCAGTTTAGAAATTAATTACCTGCCATAACTCTTTTGAACAATATCGTTTACCTGATTTATCACTTCAAATCATTTTATAGGACTTCGTTGTTGATAGGTCACTACCCACGTAATACGATGATTCATCCTCTGCCCAGTGGACCAGTCTAGCTTTTAAATTAATATTCTTGGTAACTAATTTATTGTGTTCATTGGTTATAAAGATGTTGTTCTACCAGCTCGATATGAGTATTCTCATCACAAACATAAGTCATCCAACAACAGCTTCGTTCTAATCGACAGTTAGTAGATGAGCACAGGACACATCAAAGAATAGGAATAAGTCCTTTTAGTTCATGGCAACCAAATAAAATCTTAAAACTTCTCTTTCTCTTCTTCTCTTTTATTACTAAGTCATTCTTATTAGTAGAGTTCTGATGCTACCCACAAACAAATTTGGATCACAAATTATGAAAAGTAGTTCAAGTAGTGGTTTGAAGCTTAGCCTAGCTAATAAAGAATTTCCAATTAGCAAAAGCACATTAAGGCAGAATCTTCTATATCACTTGCTCTAGAATTAACACTGGATTACAAGTTTGAAATAGAACAAATTAAGAAGGTTCAAAATGTTTAAATTTGTCGCAAAAACATTGAGAGAAATGCATAGTGTATAGAAGGATGGAATAATTAAATAATGGATGCTTTTAAAGGGGTTTGGATGACGTTGGAAACTTAACCATAAGATGTTAACTTATGCACGCTCATAAATAAATGAACAAACCTTAGGACTTTCCTAAGTCCATCTACAGACATCACTTTTACTTGTTGCACTGAAGTTGCTCTGTTAGATTGGTTCGCTTGGGGGTTAACAATGTAAACACCCTCTCCTTGGGGTCTGAATGCCAATTTCAAGTTCCTGGAATGAAAATTCATCAGAAGAAAACAAAAGACAATAGTTCTCCAATTTTATGAATACAGACCATTTCAATGTGAAACTGTCCGTAGAAATTAAACCACAGATCTAAAAAATTCAGTGAGTATACACCATAAATGAACACAAAAGCAAAACATCTACGTACCCACCCTTCAGTTCAGCACGTGCAGTGGTATAATTTTGGGAAGCATTCTGTCACAAGAAAAATTATAAACGTGAGATTGAATTAATCACTTCTCCTAGAGACAACTGAGTGAATTCTCTTACTGATGAATGATACTTGCAATAAGACATCTTATTTCTGCAATAAAAAAAAATTGCCATTTTTAGAGTCCATGTACAATCAAATACATATGTTAACAACATCAAGAACACTGAACCCTATATATATATATATGTATGTATATATATATATGTATGTATGTATGTATGTATGAACAAAAACTCAATTTGAGGTTGTGGTCAGCGCAAGCTCGAATTTATAAAAAAACTCAAACTTGAACCTCAAAAACTCAATTTATAGAGCTCAGCTCAAAATCTAATTTTATAAACAAGCTCAAGCTTGAACACAATCATGCTCAACTCAGCTTGGTTCATTTCCAACCTATCTAAATACGGGTTAGTAGTAAGTTTATCTAAGTTAAATTACTCTAAGGATCATCTATATATAAATTGAACCTTGCTTGATATTAACTTGATTATCATCATATAAAATAAAAATGAATCATACTCGAAATATAAATTTGTGTGTGTGTGTGTGTGTGTGTGTGTGTGAACAAACTCAATCTTGGACAAAATCATGCTCAACTCAGCTTGTTTTGTTTGCAACCCTATCTGAATACGAGTTAGTAGTAAGTTTATCTAGGTTAGATTACTCTAAGGATCGTTTATATATAAATTGAAACCTGCTTAATAATAACTTGATTACATTATATAAAATAAACATTAATCATACTCAAATAATCAGAATAAAAAAAAGAACTAAGCGTAAACATAAACGCAAAGTTCGATTTCAATTCGAGCTCGGCTAAAGCTCAAATTTTATAAACAAGCTCAAGCTTGAACACAAACTTGCTCAACTCAACTCGGTTCATTTGCAACCCTATCCAAATATGAGTTAGTAGCAAGTTTATCAAAGTCTTACTCTAAAGATCGTTTATATATTGAATATAAATTTGGCAAGCAAATTTGTACATCATTTAGGTGTAAGAACATGGTGACAATTTAAGGCCATTAGAACTAATTCATATGAACTTTTTTGAACCTATAATTCCTACTAGTCTTGTCGAACAAAAATACATGTATGTCATAATTGATAATTATTCAAGATTCATATGGGTAACATTTCTACCTAATAAGAATAATATATTTACCGAGTTTATAAAATTGATAAAGTAAATTTTAAGAAATATAAGATTAATCAATATGACTATCACAATTGATTATGAAAGAGAATTTGAAATAAAAAAATTTTTTGATATTTTTGTGATGATGTTAGGATTAAAAATAGTAATTATACAACTTAAATACCCCATTAGAACAAAATGAAAAGAAAAAATAGAAACTTATTAAATATGCGTAAAACAATGTTGAATAAATTTCAACCGCCAAAATATTTTTGGTTTGAATCAATAATTATTGCTTCTTATGTGATTAACATAAAAAACCATAGTTAAATCATTAAAAAAATTATTTGAACTCCTAAAAGGATAAAAGCCTAATGTTACATTTTTTAGAGTTTAGATGCACTTATTATTACTAATAAAATGAAAAAGTGAGCCTAACTGAATATAATACCCAAATTGATGAAGGAATATTAATCTAATCAAAGAAAAACACCTAAGGTTTAACATTTACATTTATAACCTTTGGTATCATAACTATGCATGAAAAGATATATTTCACTCTTTAAAAGTTAGTAATAATGTTTTTTTTTTGTAAAATTAAATATTTGAGTGTAAGGTTTGTAAATATGAAACTCTCTGTGTTAGATAAGTAAATAGGTAAGAATTGTGTGGAAGGTATGTAAATGCACCAAAATTTGAATGATGAGGAGATCAATAGATTAAAAAATTTAGCTAAAGATCAGCCAAAAACATCAAAAGAAGATCAACTCACAAAATTTACAGACAATAAAGGTATGTCTCTAATCACTTTCAAAAACTTATTACAGAAGATCCATTATCAAGAGTTAGAAATATAAGTGTTATCAGATCATTTGTATTTCTATTAAATTAAAAATCTATATAAATAAATAAAACTTTAGTAGATGAATATTTAGATATTAACAATGCAAGGATACTAAATCAATTTATCAGAAATGTTGTTTGAGTGTTAAGGGCTAGAAGCAAAAAAAATATGTTATAAGAAAATCAAATGAGTCTATAAGAACAAGTAAGATGACTCAAGAAAGATAACAAGAAATAAGACTAGCATTCTACAATTAAAATATAGCAAGATTAAGAGTATCAGTTCTAAAGAATTTTACGCCCCTACAATTAAATTAGAAGTTATAGGCCACTATTAACACATGCTACCTAGAAGGGATGAATAAAATAACCCCCAAGAATTGTTGACCGTCTAAACTCAGATCATGTACACAAACTAAAAAAACCACTATAGATTAAAGCAGACTCCAAGAGCTTGATATAAGAGGCTCAATATTTTTTTATTAGCCTAGGTTTTAGCAAATTTAATTGAACAAATCCATTTATTAAGAAGTTTGGAGATGAGATGATAATAGCTGAGATATATGTAGATGACATTCCGTTTGAAATCACAAAACTTTTTATGTCATGAATTTGTAGAATTTATGGGTAAGAAATTTGAGATAAACGGATAAATTGCATATTTTTTAGGCTTATAAGTTAAACAGAAAAGTGATGAAGTTTTTACATTTCAAACTAGGTATGAAACATCTTAGTTTCACTTCAAGGTTTGATTTGAAAAGATGCAAGTCTATTAGTATCCCTATAAACCTAACATTTAAATTAGATAAAAAGGGAGCAAGAAGTTAGTAAACTATAACCTTTAAAAATAAATGATAAGATCCTTGTTGTATCTAAGAGTTATAGATCAAATTATGTCTTAAAATTATGCGCTAAATTTTAAGTAGATTCCAAAAAATCTTTGATTTTTGTAAAAAGAATATTTAAATGCCTGATAGGCTAAAGAACTCACAAAGTTGTGGTTCCCTAAGGATGAACAATCTTTTGAATGTACAAGTTATTATGAGTCAACTACTCAAAATGCATAATTGATCGAAAGAGCGCATCAAATATAAACAATTCTTAGGATTCTCATCGATATCATAATCAAATAAAAAATAGAGTTTTGACATGTTATCAACTACAAAGGTTGAGTATGTCATTATGGATGGTTATGTTGCATAACTACTCTATTGTAGGCTTAATCACAATCCTATTAAGTGTGATTACACTAATGTTATAAATTAGAAAAAATAAACCAAAGTTTAAAACTCAAAGACAAAAAATATAAGAATTTTTCATCATTTCATTCAAGACTATAAAAACCAAGGTGATAAAGTTATAAAGTTTGTTAGAATAGATAACTGGCTAATCGATATCTTCATCAAAACCTTAGCCAACAATTATTTCTATTACTTAAAACAATGATTAAGAATATTGTATCTCATCTTCTAGGTACCACTTTGAAGAACTTTAACAAGTAAAATTTTGTTTTAATTCAACACAACAAAATGTATTTCAGCCCTTAGCAGGTCATCACTATACATAACAGGCATCTATCAATTAGCGGATATTGGCAAACAATTGCAAAACCCCATTAAATTTGCATCAGAACTCATTGAGATTTTTAATTCAAATGAAGTACCTAATGTGCCAAATCATCTTTGATCACTTGAAAATATGAGAAAATTAAATAACAGGCTTAACTAACCCTTTTAAATTCAAAATCACTCAAGGGCGTTCAAAGCCATTCAAGGATTTTGTAGGCTATAATTATCCTAGTACCTCCCCAATAGTTTTAAAATTCAAAATAATTCACAAGAATTAATTTTCCTTTCTATAAATAGCACCCTATTCGTAAAATTGCCATACCATATCTATATCTACTCAATCCCTTAGCAAAGTCTTGAACCATAAAGGTGTTCTAATAGGAGGTGAAATTATTAGGTAAATTCCTCCATAAGCCTCTTTATTTCCTTTACATCTATTTTGTTTTAAAATACATCTCTTACATATTCCTTTCATTATTCTTTCTTGGCTTTTCTTAGATAATGGCTAATCACCCTAAAAGTCTCATTACCATCATGGTCAGTCCTCACGATGATTTCCAATACCACTTATACTAACATCAATAAAATTACAATAAACATTGATTCATTAACCCCTCCATAGATCTAAGTTATCAATCTCTTTCTTCATTTCAATTATTTGAACTTTGTATCCTTTTTCAATGTGCCTTAGTCAACGCCTGCTAAAATGTACAAAATAATTATTGCTTATAATTTTTTTTTCTTTCCCAAGATCATTAGGCAAAATTGGAGTGTATCAATATTTCAAAAGCGTGTATTTAAAAATTTTATTACAATGGCACATAAGATTTATAAAGTTTAAGAAAATTCTTACAGAAATAAACATGATATAACAGTATAAAAAAAAATAAAAAAGACTTGACTAATGGAAGTATATAAAATTTAGAAGATTTGAATGTATTTAGTAAATTTCATGTCCTGCAAATCGATTTAAAATCATGTGTTACATGTTTGTAGGTTATAAAAATCAGTAAAACTTGTATTTTACTACACCAAAAATAATTAGATATATAAAAATTAATTATGATTGCAACTTATTCAAATAAATATATTTAAATATACTTATTAAAATTTTAATCTTTTGCATAAATATAAGTTTTGTTTGTGCACTTATAACTGATGTTACAGAACAAGTTTATAAAAATTTGAAGTTCGAAGTACAAGACCCAACTTGATCAAAACAAATAGCAAACTACAAGCTATTAAGACCTTTTATAATATATATTGTTTATTTGATTGGATATATATATATATATATGAAGTTAACGACATCTAAGTATATACTTATATAGTGAACTTGGCCACAAAGGCACATAAGAAAATATAATGAACTTATATAGTGAAGTTATAGGCTTTGTGCATTGATTATCTTGCGAAATCGTGGAGGAATAAGAGGAAAAAGGTCTGAGGCTCTGTCGAGAGGAGAGGGGAAGCAGAAGCCGCAAGCCTTGAGTGCGGCTGTTAGGGCTGTGAGCCATGCGAAGGAAAAGAATCGGAGGAGACAAGAACTGTCATGTTCGCGTGAGTGTAGAGGAAGAGGAGGAAGAAGTCGCATTAAAAAAAAATTATACCAGTCCATTAAGGCTAAGGTGAATAATTATTTCTTTTATGCATTAAATTAATATTTTATTAAAAACTAATTGTTTTATTAAATGGTTTAAAACAACTGATTCATTCATGTCTGGCATTTTGAAAAAATGTAATGGTATCACAAATGAGGGGAAAATTTAACATATGAAAGTACATTTTTAAGAGAATTTATTTGATACAAAATGCTAAGTAAAATTTTAAGTCATACATGATTACCCTCAGATAATATTGGATATACCCGTGCATGTTAAAGAAAATGAAAAAGGTGTACCTTCGGGTGAAATTTTTATAGTACATTAGGGTACATTTTTTAGGGTACCTACGGATACAATTTCTTTAGGTACTTTAGGGAATAATTTTGAGGATACCTTTGGGTATAACGGTAATCTTGTTATGCTCTTAAAGAGATGAAAAACGGTAAATACTTAAAGTGAAACAGGAATGGAGAAAGTTAAAATGAATATTTAAAGTTTTATTAAGAAATAAACAACATTTTCTTTTGATCTTTTTTGCATATTATTGGCATAAAAATTTTATACATATTAAATTTATAATTGCTTACTAAGTCAAACTTATTGTTTCAATTAATGATTTCATTCAGGAAGAAAAAAAAGTTTAAGTTGATATGTCTGGTAAAAGAGATTTGGTGTACATGAGAAAGACTGGAACTGATAAGTACTAATTTATGATGTGTTTGAAGTTTATTTTCGTATTATTCCTTCTGGATAGTGATATACTGTTGTGTGGATTGAGATTTTACTTGCAAATTATTTATGTTATTGTTTGATGATTTAAATTTTCTTATATGAAATTGTAGTATTCTTAGTAGCTTTTTTATAATTTGGAAGAATTATAATTCAGTGGATAGATGTTAATACCTCAGACTGTTTGTTCACATCTTACTTGATTCCAAGCCCCGGGTCGGAACTTGAAAATTTGTATAGTGGTTTGTTTGTCAAAATGTGTGAGAGTGAACGGGAAATTGTCTAATTTAATTCTTGAAATAATTGGATTGTTTTGTTTAAATGATTCACAATCAATGTAAAGAAAAATGACTTTTATTACCTTATTTTGATTAATTTTTTATATACTTACACTGCATTTATTATGTTTATCACTAAAAATTTATGATTGATAAACTTTTATTGGAACACATCTACAACAACTAAGCCCTTTGGAATATTTAATCTCAAGGCTCCATCACCCAAATGTCAAATATTGGAAAAATAAAAAGTATCTATAAATTCTATCATTGGTGATTCTAAAGAGCAATGTAAAATAAAACTTCTATCAAGTGAAAGCTTCCAAAAGGCAAATGATATCAATGATAGAAAAAAATTCAAAATAAATGAGCAACACTCCAATATGGTTAAGTTTGGCAACTTTATGACTAATGAACTAATGAATTGCAATGCCTTAGTTTACTATCACGATTGATGGAAAGTGTTGCACAAAAAAGTGTTCAAACACAATTTCTAATTCAGTATATTATAAATTCATATTCTAAGTGAGATTATTTAGTGTAAATTTGGATATTTTTTAATCATCATAGATAAAGTTTAATTTTAACTTCCACAACTAATAGCTACCAAATTTAAAATTCATCCAGATATGATTTTCAAGACTAGGGGCTATCAGCATAAGATTCATTCACATATATTTTTCTAAGATGTGGATAGCTAACTCAAGTAATATTCACAATTTATCAGCAAAACCTATAAATTTATGATACAATTATAACAAGAGGAAATTTAATGTTTCATGCATCTCAAAATAAGAAACAAAAAGAGTTGTCATTCAAGAAAGAAAAAGTTCTTTCGAGTGCATTTGTGAGAGGAGTTCTTTGGGTTATTCAAGAAGAAAGAAGTACTGCTACCTTCGATTCTAATAAGAGAAAAGCACTTGGTCGTAACAAAAAATAACTCCTATTAAAACTTTTGTTATAGAGAAGAGAAAACAGAAATTGGAGCATGAACAAATTCTCTAGATTGTAGACTCATTTCACAACATTTGATTGATTTTTTTTTAACTAAACAAAAGTAAAATATTTGTCCACGTCTCCAATTTTATATAAAATGTAATGTTTCAAATATTGTTTCTGAAGCTTAGTAATTTAATCTCTATAAGACCATGAATATAAGCTCACTTAAGCTAAATCATGCAAATTTTGTCGCTCTTTTTGTGTTTAATCCCTTTAACAATTACCTTATGATTTATCATAATTTTCTCTTTGTTTAAATGCTCTCTTTCCCAACAAACAACTTAAAATTAATTGAAAGTAGGCCATCATAATGTCCAATTTTGGCATGAGTAACTGGTGACTTGAAGCCTCAGTTGCGATTACAACTTATCAACATTGGGGAAATCGATTTTGAAGATGCCATTAGATCTTTCAAAATCTTTTCTCAAGAACCTATACTTTGTTAACAACGATGTCAATGATCCATTGTATCAACTATTGACGTGTGAGAACCTAAACGAAATTGAAACATGCTTTGTCCATTCAAGATGCGTTTTTTATGGCCAACATAAAGTAAAAAAGCAATGGGTGATGCACCGTTCACATATGACTCTAGTTTTAATAAGAAAAATACAACAAGAATATCAAATGCAAGAATCCAATCTATTGGCATACCAAGTTACGAAAGGCACATACTTGTTTATCACCATCGTACAAGCCATTCCATCTTTCCTTTTACCCTTACAGATACCATAGTCCGCCGATGTCCCTATCCTTAAAATTTGACTAACTGAGTACAAGCTCAACGAAAACCCTTTTCCCTATTCAAAGAAGTAAAACGATCCACTCAAAAAACAAAACAGCATGTACTGCAGTTCTACTTGTGGAATAGATGACTTACAGCATCATCCTTGCGAACATTTGAGTTAAAAAGGGCAAAAACGGTCCCAACCCTCTCATTATAGTTCATCTTGTATGCATCGCCAAACAAAAAAACAGAGGCATTTGTCTCATCCAAACACCCCATTTTCCATATACAGTAGCTCTTCCCAGAAGAGCTCATTTTTGCCTCTCCCTTCTCTGTCAACACTCCAACTGTTGCCCAGCT